CTCTGTCTCTCATTCTCTCTCTCAAATAAATAAATAAAAATCTTCAGAAAAAAAAAAATGTGGCATCCTCTAAAAGTGAACAGGTTTCCCTTCTTCCCCCTGGTCAGAGATGGGACATAGAAGTACGACAGGGTGCCGAGGGTTTTCAAATAAACGTGTTCCTCCTGAAGAAAGCCATCCAGTGACGATAGCTTAACTTTCTCAGAAGAGACTCCATTTACTGCCTCTTCTTTAAGAAAGAACTTGGCAACAGGATGCAATTTAATTAAAGTATTTACTTGAACATATGCCCTCTGAGGCCTGAAGGAAACAGGATATTCTTGCAAAGCCACTGGCAATTTGGGGGGGGGGGTGTTGTTTGGTCGTGGGTCAGACTTTTTCTGAGGTTGAAACACACACAAGGGCACACAAGGTCACACGCATGCCCCTGTTTCTGAAGCAAGAAGTCAGGATCTCCTCTTAGATACACCAGCAAAAAGCAACAGGCTCTCATTTCCGGGTCCTACAAAAATTGTTGGGGAACGCCAACTTACTGGCATTCTGCACTTGGCCTTGGAAGCCACAGAAAAAAGCCCTGGCTGCAGCATGTTCTCCATGAAAATTAGCAGCAGTGATTTCATTGTGGAATAAAATCTACTTAGGGAGGGAAAAAAAAAAGTCCTGACCAGTCCAACCTAAAAAATTTATTGTATATTTAAGCTGTTTGAATATTGCATTAAATCCAATATCCCAGTGGTCTTCTTTCTAGGTTAGAACATTTCCCCATTTGAGGGTTGGTAGGTGTCTTTTTCTTTCCTTTTCCTTTTTTATTTGTTTTATTAAAAACATATCCCCAGGGGCGCCTGGGTGGCTCAGTTATTAAGCATCTACCTTCGGCTCAGGTCATGATCCCAGGGTCCTGGGATCGAGCCCCGCATCAGGCTCCCTGTTCGGCGGGGAGTCTGCTTCTCACTCTCCCACTCCCCCTGCTTGTGTTCCCTCTCCCACTGTGTCTCTGTCAAATAAATAAATAAAATCTTTAAAAAAATATATATATCCCCAGGACCTAGAACCTTGTCTGGTGCTTTCAGCCTCCAATAAACATTTATTGATTAAATACAACCGCCGAATGGAGGTGGGAGTGTCAAGGAATAGGTGCATGTCTCCATTCCTGGGGCCAGCAGACTGAAGCCAGGTTGCAGGGGCGGATTTCAGGACCGGTGGGCTCCCTTTGGGACAAGCGGGGTCTAGAGGCCTGGATTCTGGTTCTGATGAGACCCTCCTCCCCCGCACCGGCTGGAGACGTGAAGCAAATCACTGAGATCCCCGGGAGGCCTGCAGCCCACACTGCTGCTCTTCTCATTCCAGCCCTGTCAGGACCTGCCCACCAGTGACTCACACCTCACACCTTCCTCTCCCCCTCCACTGGCCCCTGGGGCTTCCTCTCCTCCACGGTGCTTGGCGGCACCCAGTATAACCAGCAGTGGGTCAGCAGAAGAGACTGGTGTTCTGCTCGCTGTTAATCCTTGGCATAAACTCTAGGGAGGATTCTCAAACAGGTGGTTTGTGCATATTGAGGAGAACACACACTGACAAGAGGAGGCAACACAGGCTCTGAATTACGTACATCCCCTTTCACGCGCTCTGCACTAAAGCATCCCTCTTGCACACGGGTGGCTTACCTGAAAATTCAAATAAATGAAAAACTGGGCCACTTGGCTGGCTCAGTCGGTAAAGCGTGCAACTCTTGATCTCGGGGGTTGTGGGTTCAAGCCCCGGGTGGGGTGTAGAGATGACTTAAAAAATAAATTCTTAAAAAAATAAACTAAAAACCGAGATGCAGAAATGTACACTTTGCAGTGGTCCTTGTGGTTTCCAGCCACAGTTGGACAGCTTAAGATCGTTTCATGCCATCCTGTGCGCGATCTGTTCTTCCAGCCCATGCCAACTGTTTAGCTTCTGAGGAAACGCGTGCCTTTATGGTTTCATTCAGGTCATGGATAAAAATGTTGAACAGCACATAGCAGAGGGAAGACCCCAGTGGCACTCCACACCAGAGCGCTTTGCAGACCGATGCCAATCCAGTATGAATACTCTGGGGGCAAATCGTGCAGCTTTGGTAACCGCTGGGAGGCAGAGGGGCACTGTGGGTAAGAGCATGGGGCGAGACTCCTATCCTGCTCCCACTGGCTGTGCAACCTTGGGCAAGTTGCTTAATCTCTCTGAGCCGCAGTTTGCTTATCCACCATATAGGAAAAATCATGATGGCATTTTTTCATGTGGTCGATCTGAGGATTATATGGGACAATACAGAACAAAAGCCTTAGCCTGTGTTGAACACACGGTTTCTCTCTCTCTCAGTAAATGGGAGCAATGTGTTGTTTAGCAAGTTCATAAGGACAGGAGGAGAAAATTTGTTAGCACATGTCCGGGAAATTGCATCTTGGGCATCAATTTGATATAACAGCGACCCTATCAGAAATGCAACGCATGGACTTGGCTCTGGTTTTTAGAGAGCTCGTGACAACTCCCAGTCATCTTCTAGCAAAACTCCCCATCTGTTTACTAATCCACTCTGGACATTTGCTGGGGAATGCTATCTCTCTCTCCCACGTATTGCCTATTGTTTCCAGAATCCATCCTTTCCTGCTTCAAAAAAACCATGACAACGCTGTCATCTCCATTTCCTCCTGTAATTTTTTTTAACCGACTGAGCCACCCAGGTGCCCCTGTAATTTTTTTTTTTTTTTTTAAGAACTAGGTAGTGGATCTAGTGGATCTATGAACTCATTTCTCCAAACTCTCTTAAGAGAAAACAGAACTCAGAGAGCCCCAAGGCTGTGCTATTTTCTTTTAATCACTATGGACTCCAGTTGCTTTGTGAACCTGTTGGCCCCACCCTTTCCATTTTAAAGCATTCTAATCAGTGGGAAAAATAAAAATGAAACAGGAAGGGGCTAGCTCTACTTTCTGTCACCTGTTAAACTCACCACCTGCTCTGTCACTTCTGTCCCCTACGTGAGAAGCTTCTGAAAGACTGAGAAGTGGAGAAGGCCCATTCAGAAAGCAAACAGACGAAAATAAACAAAAACCTGCCTTCCTCCTTCCTTCCCCCACTTTGCAGATAAGAAAACCAAGGTTCCTGTCTGTTGCCTAACCTATTAAAGCAATCAAATCAAGAGGTCATATGGTCATATCCCAGGCTACAGTTCTCCTACTCAAAACTCCTAATGACTAACTCCAAGAGTCACCACATAGGGAACCAGAATCCTTTGGGGGCCCGTGGTGGACACTGGCTTGGACATCCAAAGCTTCCTTTGCAGGACAGAGGGCAGAGCTTTCCAGCAATACGCTGACCAGGGCAGGAGAAACAGGCAAAGGGACTGAGATATGTAAACAGAGCCAATTAACAGATCACCCTTGGCCAATAAAACACCTTTATGGGGTAATTAGCAGTTCATAAAATCTGCTAAGTAACTTAGAAACCTCTGTACCACGCCTTTAGCGTTTTTCACTGCTAAAGGGCCCTGGGGAAATATTAGCTCCTACCGTGTGATGAATCACACAACACTACCAAGGAAGATAGCAGCCCCTCGTGGGGAGGAGCGCTTAGAAAAATTCTGTCTGCTTTGCTGACTTACAGTCTCGAGTGACCCCAGATTAACAGTACACTGTCCCAGGAGACTGCTACAGGGTGGTCAAGAGAATGGACAATGGCCTCAAACGAAGCCTCGTCACCCTCCCACATGGAGAGAGGTAGACCTGCCTTGCAGAATCACGTCCAAAACCAGACATCAAGAACGTACTGTGCCTGACTCAGTGCCTCACTGGCCCACACCTTGGTGGCCGTCATCGACATGCTGGCTAGCCACCATAGTGCTATTTGAAATCAGCACTCACCGAGTGCCAGTGTCCCCCCAATATTCTTCATGACAACCCTCTAATGCACCACCCGTGGCCTTATCGTGAGGGCCTCAGACTTCAGGAAGGGTGGGCTTGACTCACCGTTTGAGCCCCTATCATTAAGTATTTCCTAAATTCAGGAGTCTTTCTGAAGTTAAAGAATCACTCTCAGAACACAAAATGAAACACACGAAGGGAAAATCTCTAATAGCTAAAAAGCTCAAAAGAAAAAGAACTCCTACCCCATCTGCTAGGAAGGATGAGCATCTTTCTCCATAGCGGGAGGGCATCTAGAACATTCGGGGTGCCCTGCCAGGGGCCGTGGCATTGGGAGGACGGGCAGGTGGATGGTGTGTGGGTAGGAAGGCCTTTGTACCTGCAGGTTTCCTGACATGTTCTAGGCCCACTCCTTCTCTTCATTTGGGTGTCTGTTCAAATGTCCCCTCCTCGGAGAGACCCCCGGCCTACCTCCTATAAAGGAGCACTTCACTGTCTCCTGTCTCAGCCTCTCCTCCTGCTTTGCTTTCAATAGAGTGGTTATTACTACTGTCATTTTATTATATTTGTTCATTTTGGGGGTCTCCCTTACAGCAGGGTGTAAGATCCATGAACATTGTTACCTTGTACTTCCCTGGCTGTATCCCCAGGACTCAGAGAAGTACCTGACACATAGTAGACCCTCAACAAACATTTGTTACATTGATTAATGGGTGGGGAAAGGAGTATACACATATACATCACTTCACACAAACATATATCAACACACGGTAGGAGAAATTCCATGTAAATACAGATTATTATGGATTCCCACCACCCCCCCAAAAAATCTGAACTTACGATAACATGAAGTCGGACAGCATAATATTTTCATAAATATCCCAAAGGACCTGGGGCCCAATTTCCTTTGAGGACTAGCTGGGGGAGGGGGCAGGGGGAGCCACATCCCTTGTCACCTCTCAGCCAATCACTTCTATTTGAAAGACATAATCGAGATATAAATAGAAAAGAGAGATCCTGCTAAAGAAATCACTGAAATGAACGTTGCCCATGATACCTAGAGCAGTGGGGTCATATCAGTGTTGTTGTTTTTTGTTATTGTTGTTGTTCATTTTCTCCCCTCATCAGGGGACAGACCTGTCCTGTGTCCAGTGTCCTGCAGCCGGGTGGACCCACAGCAAGGAAGAGACCGTTTAAACACCATGCGCTAACCCAGGCACAGCGGGATGCTCTGGGAGCCCAAAAGGCAGAGGAACCGGGGAACAGAATGCCCCACCGAGTCACTAGCAGGCTCCAACACTGTGCCCGGCTCTCTAGAAAACACGTCCTCCCTGCCACCCCCATGAATGCAAAGAAAAGGGCTTCACAGCCTCACAAGACAGAGCTCAAAAGCCATTCAGGGTAGGAATCAGTGGGATAAGGATCCAGCTCTCCAGATTGATTTCCTAGGAGGAGGACAAGATCGGTCTCCACTTCCAAAGTTGTTTCTTAAAAGTCAATCTCTCTTTACAGATATACTTCCTGAAAGTTCCACTTTTCTTCTCCTACAGATTACCAAAAGATGAGAAAGAAAATGAATGCTTTAAAGGACAACGAATTTCAATCCCCTCGTTTTAAAACCATGACCAGGCTAGCTGTTTGGCACAAAAGTGGCCATTTAGGATGCAAACAGCTACTAGACTCTTTGTGTGTTCTATAAAGAAAGGTGGATTCCATTTAAGTGGAAGTCTTGTCCTTAGAAGCATCAAGAAACCCTTGAAGGGCTTGAGCACACTTACCACCCAACCCCTCGTGGAAGAAGCCAACACCCACAGGGAACGTCTGGGCTCTGGTTCAGACTATTCCCTAGAGTGGTATGACCTTGGGTAAGCCACTCCATTTCTCTGAGTTTCCTCTCCTGTAAAACGGTTCTCTGGGATAACCACCCCCACTCAGTGATTCCACACGTCTGGCTGTTTGCAGGAATCCCATTCTCTCCAGTGCCCTTGAACGAAGGACAACACTGCACCCCCCTCCTGACCCGCCCCCCCAGCAAGAGGACGTGGCTTGTTTTTGGTTCCCAAACCCCACCAGTCTAATCTGCATATGGCACCTAAGTCCTCGGCAAGAAAAATTATATAGCTGGAAGCTAAAAATAATTCTGGAGGAAAAAAAGCACCTCTAAATATCCAACTTCCTTTGCTAAAAAAAAATCTGTCCTTTTAAAGTCAGGAATTTCTTGGTATCACTCGAATATCATAGACTTCTTTTTTCCCCTCCAAGGGCTCATCAGGATTTTATACCAACGCATGGGAACTCTGGATTCAGACAGGATTTCCTGACCCATCTCTCTGCCTCCTGGTTGAATCTAGTCCCAAAGCAGTAAAATGTATTGACTCTGGTCTTCCTGCCACTTCAGAAGGTGGGAGGCTCTCATTACAAATCGGCTCTATGCTTTTGTTTTCGAAAACCCTGGGCATCACTGTAATAGGTGGCATGGGATGGCAGGATGTTTCCCACCTCCTTCCCACCAGCTCCCTCGAGGGTCCCTCTCCAGGGTTCTAGATGCCAATGCCCTTGAGACCTGCTCCCCTCAGAGTCATCATTAGAGAGAAAGTGGCATGACTGCTTATGGGAACACCTCTCCCGAGCGGGAGCGGCTTCAGGGAGGTGCTGTGCCTCATTCATTTTTGGGACCCCAATGCTCGGCACATCATAGGAGCTCAGTAAGTCTCTGATGAATGAAAGAATGAAGACCACATCTTTAAGGCAGATGCACTGCTCTCGGGCCACCCCAAAGCGTGACAGAGACAAATACCACAAACGTGTGGACCATGCAGGGATCGGGGCTGCCCCTTCCTGAGTACCTGCTACTGTCCAGGAAGCCCCGTGTGCTAACTGATGTAATCCTCACTACATTTCGCTGATCTGGACAGAACATGTAATTTGCATGAGGTCACACAACCATGAAGCCAGGATTTTTTTTTTTTTTTTTTACTGTCATTAAAATCACTTCCTATACACCACGGAAAGATTTCTAAGGGGGCTTGAGAGAATGTGTGTTTTGGAAAACGCTACGCTGTGCACTGGATTTGCCCAACACTCTACTGTCACCCACAGCAGGAAGATGGGGATACAGGTGTCTTCTGAGCACTCATGTCAAAGAGAAGGCAGCCGGGCTCCTGTCACCAGCCTGCCGACTGGGGCCAGCTTTCTCTCCGCGCCAGAGTGCGGGGCCCTCCCCACCTCCTCCCTGTCCATCCCGCTCACTTCTTTAATCGATAACACCCATGCGGGATCCATTGTGAGAGCTGACGGTGGCCACTGTTAACATGTAAGAAAATGAACACAAAAATCCGACTGCTTTTCAGTGCTAGTTAGCCCCAAAACCAGTGACGTACATTTTACTTTCCCAGGGCAAGGGGCATGCGGGCCGGCCCACGTGGTTTCAGGAATCCGGTGTTTCTGCCAAATAAATCTGCTGAGATTGTCCTGTTAATTCACTGAGCTGACAGATTTCAACATGGTTTCGAAGCTTCAGGACATGACAAAGGTGTGTGCGCTCTGGGGGAAAAAAAAAGTACTGTCTCAATTGATAAGTCTACCTGGCTGGCAGAAAACTTGACAGAGAGAGAGGGAGGTGTGCTGGACCTACAACAGCTGGGAAAACCTGTCCCCGCCTTGAGGCTGGGACACATCCTGGTCATGACAATGGTAAAAGGGTGGCAGCTCTTTGGGAGCTCTTTGCTCCTTCCGAGGCCCTCCATGCACGTCACCTTCCCCACATGGTCCTGTGGGACCTGTGCTTTGGGGACAAGGGGAGGGCACAGTCTTCACTGCCCTGACATGAAGAGCCCTTTCTTCATGTCCGCTTTCTCCTCTTCCACTCCTGGGCACCACCTAAACCTTAGGTCTCCCCCAGAGGACACCCTATAGAGGCGTCCAGGCAGGGTAGAGCCACCCCATGAGCAGCCGGGTTGGATTGGGTCCTCCCATAACATCGGCAGGCTCTCCAGAAGCCCCTGACAGGCTCTGTGCAGAGCCAGCCTGGACAGTGGTTGGAGGTTATCTTCAGGGAAATAAAACTTCGCCATCGGTAAAATCTGGAGATCGTCAGGCACGCTTCGAGAGGAGGGTGCTATCATAGGAGAATCAGTCCCCCCTCTCCCCCATCTCTGCCAGCTCACCCCAAAGTCTTCCTGCTGTACCATGAGCCCTTCAAACCCCACTAGCTTACCTGGGCCTAGCACAGGGCTTGGCCATAGCAGTGACCAACAAAGCTCATAAATACAAAGAAATCTCTAAGGGGAAAAAATGGGCAGGGCAGGGCTAGGACTTTATTCAACACTGAACAATGAAGAGCTCCACGCTTTACCTGTTCCGCCGCTCCCACGGACTTCAGGAAATCAATACTCCCATTATCCCACGTTACAGAGGAGTAAGCTGAGGCTTCGAGAATGAAGTTAAGAACTCAGTTTGCCCAAGGTCACAGAGCTGAAAAGCGGCAGGGGCCAGATTCCAAGGCAGGCAGTCCGGCTCCAGAGCACCGTGAATCTGCCCGTCCACGTGTCCTCCGTGCCCGCAAGCTGAATGGAGAGAGCCTCCACAAATCCAGGATACTGAAGGGGCCAAGGACCCGGGGCCAGCCCTACACAGTTCGTTAGTACAAAACCCTGGTACCCACTCCCCCCGCTGTGGAGGAAAGGAGGGTCCCAGGTGAAAAATTCCAGACTGACCTGACTCGCAGACGCCAAGTCTGCCTGCGCAGGGGACATTAGGAGCAGAGCCACCCCATCAGAGCTGAAAGCCAGCCTGGGGAGCCCCCAGGAGGGGCGGTGTCAGCCCCTCCCAGGACGCACACACTCCTAGTGAAGATGTACGTTCACCACAGCAGTTCAGCCGGAGCCCGCTAAAAATAGCCTCCTGCGGGAAACAAAAGTCCCCGTGCGTCCCAGGCCAGGCACAAGGGGAGAGCCAGCCGTGGTATCGGCCGCTGCAGATCAGATCCCTGTAACTGAGGGTCACCCGGGTCACTAGCCACAGCCACGGTGGCTGGGCACGTGGCTGTGCGCACCTGTGGCTGGGCAGGGGGAGGCAGCTGGGGGCGTCCTTGCACTCGGTGCCCTCACCAGCCCAGTGCAGCCCACAGGTGAGACCCTGCAGGTGGGCACGTCTGCGGTCTCACTCATCCTGGCGCCCTGTGACAGCTCCAGCTTCTCCGGCCGGGGGAAGCCGCGCTGCCAGGAGCCTGGCGAGGGCACGGATTTAAAGCCGGCAGTGGAGTTGGGGGCTGCCCGTTCTTGCAGAAGGGGAGTGGCAGTGTCACAGGGTGACGGCAGCCCGCTGCTGCTACTCACACCGTGAGCGAGGCGTGCGCGGCACGGACGTAAATCAGGCTGGGGGGCGGTGCCAGCCCCGGCTGTGAGGACCTGGCCCTGGGGTGTTCAAGTTCATGGCTCTGAAGCACCCCCAAGCCCCTGCTGGTCCAGAGACCACCTCACACGACACACCAGAGGGATGGCGCGGACTTGAGCCCTGCATCCAGGAAACCCCAGGGACTCGCCCATGTCACGCAGCTACTTTTCGCAGCAGAGCTTCCAAGTCCAAAGTCGCTGACTCCTGTCCTGTGCCCCCCCCCACCCAAGGACATTGCACCTCCCCCGCCAGCCCCGCCTTGTGCCTATCACCTCCAGCCTGTCCCTCTCAGTCCCCCAGAGGCCTTGACACCCCACCCCCCGTTGGCTCTGCAGCGCAGCCACGGTCCAGCCCTGACCCATGTCACCACCCTCTCTACTCCACCCCTGTGGTCTCCGTTGGCAGCGCCCTCCCCTGCATGCCCCATGCAGCCTTCTCCACCTGCCACCTGCTGAGTTAGCTCCCTTCTTTTAAGAAGCTCCCTCCTCAAAACCTCACTTTGGGGCCTCCCTCTGCATTTGTGGCTAGTTCCTTGGTGTCCCTTGGCTCACTCGCCCCTTGGGAAGCCTCCAGCCCTGCAGCGCAGACTACGGGAGCAAACCCTAACACGGTGTCCCCATGCACATCCCCGAGGGCTCACCTCACCCTCACTGTCCTCTCAGGGATTCCAGAGCCAATGCTCCCACCCAACAGTCACTTTGGAGTCTCTTGTCCCTACACGTCCACCTGTGCCTTCTCCCATCCTCCCCTAACCCCAGTGTCAGCACCTTCTCATTGCCTGTGCCCAAGAGGACAGTGGCTACTTGCTGTAAGCACCCATTGTCTGTCCTCTACACCCCCCGAATATTTGCTCCACACCCAATTTGCTCTACCACCCTTGTATCTGAGAACGGGAATGGCTTTGCCATTATAAGGATAAACTCCCTACTCGTGTGCAGACTTCCCCAGAACATGCTCCATGCCGTACCTCCTTCCCCTCCAGCATGTTCAGCACCAGCTCCTTCCCCGTTGGGGAGCATGATTTGGCTTCAGAGCTTCAGAAGTCTGTTGACCCCTCCACTTAGACTTTCTCACCACCACCCACGCTTCCCCTACCCCCTTAATCCCAGCTCCTCCAGCTCTCCGGAAGCCACCCTCTGGAAACTTCTCTAGACCTTTGAGGGATCAGCTCCAACAACCAGATGTTAATCTTCATTTTCTCTAATTTCCCTGCAGCAACCGCAACTGACCACGCGTGGTGCTTTCTTTTTTGGTCCGTCTCTCTCTCTCTCTCTCTCTCTCTCTCTCCTTTCTGTGGCTTCTTCCTAACCTTGGGCTTTTCCTTTATCCACTTTTTCCTCTCCAGCCCATCACATGTCAGTGCTGACTGGCTGAACCCCTGCATTCTTTCCCTATATTCTTCTCAACCAAAGTGGTCTTCACTATCACAGCTAGTGAGGTCAGCTCTGCAGGGGAGATTTTCAAGTATATGATGCAGCCCTCACCTCTCCATTCCTTATTCTTACCTAACTCACCTGGAGACCCCCACCTTCAGATGCCCACTGCCACCTCAATCCACTCGCTCAAAGCTCATCCCCCAGCATCCTCCCATCTTCCCCTCCCTCTCTTTTTGCGGCGGTGCCCACCTGTCACTCACCCGCTCAGTCTTCTGGATCTTTTCCCTTGGTCACGTCCACTCTTGCCCTGACAGACCTCTGGCATCCATTCCTTGTTCCTCATCTCCACTGCCGCCATCTTGATTGAGGCTCTTGCTAACGCATTCCTTAAGCCATGCCCACAGTTCTTTACGTTGCTCTCTCTGCATCCCATTTCTTTGTCCCTGCCGCCATGTCAATATACACAGGCCACAGAGACTCCCACTGCCTCAGTCCTTCAGGGTCAGGACCTGTTTTTTCCTTTGGCCTTCAGAGCCTGTCCTGGTCACAGCCAGCAAACCTGCACCATCCCAACCTTACCTCCCAGGGCCTTTTCCACACTCTACTCTTGCCTAGAATGTTCCACTCCCCTCCCCTGTCCCACTAAGCCTAACAAAATCTTATAAGGCCTCGTGCAAATTACACCTCCTCCTTGGAAGTGGCCCAGCCTGAACCTCTTTCCCACCAGCCTTCAATCCTAACAAGTAGTGTCTCTACAGTTCATCTGGGAATCACTCATGTGTCAACTTCTGGTAGCCACTCGTATTCATTCTTCTTATGTCCAACTAAACTACCGGCTTCTGCCTTCACCGGGTTTCCTGGCCGCTGTTTCCAGAGCCATACCCTGACAAGTTTCAGGAGCAGGAGTGGCCCGGCACCCTGACCCCACCAGTGAGCAGGGACCAGACTCAGTCCTATCGTGGGCAGGCAGAGGCGGCGTCCCCAACAGTCACCCTCAGCACATGGCAGCCTGCTCACCTCCCCCCATCACCCAGTAGAAACATTGGCTTCTGCCCCAATTTCCTGCCCACTTAGCATTCCAGCGCTCGACTGCAGCATGCCATTGCAAATGGTTGTCTCTGGAACTAGAAACTGCTACTCATCTGACTTTGAGTATCTCCTGTTGTCCAACACTTCTGTGTGCCATGCCTGCTTAGATACAGAACCGAGTAAGAGTGCACCAAGCCCTCTGGGGGCTGCACACCAGACGGCGGACCTCTGCCCCTAGGGACCTACCTCGTGGCCAGGTGGGTTTGCACCATATCAGAGCCCTGCCTGGTCCTCCTCACTCCCTCCTCCTCTTCCTCCTCCCCCTCCCCATCCCTCACCTCCTCCTTTTCCTCTTCACAAGCCACCTCACTGAATTCCCAGAATGCCTTGAGTCTGAATAATTCCCCACCCCTTCTCCCTCTCTGGAGACTGAGAACATCCCAAAAGGCTCCCTTTTCTCCCCACCGCCTCCAGGAGAGAGAGCCTGGCACACCATGCACTCGGTAACTTGTATTAATTCGATTTCTGAAGTTAAGTGTCTGAGTGGGCAGATGGAGCAGGAGGAGGTGGGTCTTCTGGCCACCAGGATGGAGGAGAAGGCGGGTTGGCTTCCTCCCACTGCTCTTTAACCATTAAGCGTCTTTTCCTTAGTGCTGTTTGAAAACCACTTCCAAGAGGCCTGGCTGACTTCCTGTGTTTGCAGAACCCAGGGCAAGTACAGTTCAGTATTGTCCAGAATAGCAATAAATGACTGTAATTTAAACTGCAGGCCTGGAAGGAAACCCTAATCTGGGGCATTTTCACCCCTACAGCCCTCCAAAGAGAGCCAGTTTTCTTTCCGGCTCTTTCTCTGCCTCTTTGCACCCACACTTCCACTGTGTGCCCAGGTATCTGGCTCAAACGGGAGTGGTGTTTAAAAGAGGTGGCAGGGGGCCGCTTGCCCACATCGGCCGGTGAGCGGCGGGAGCTGCCCAATGGGTTCCTTCTTTTCCCTTCTTTTCCTTGGGCGGGGACAAAGGCACTTACTTGTATCCATGTATTTCTCTTCTGCCAACATCCAGACCAAAGGAAATGGGCTTACGCTGAAGCCTCTGCCTAGATTAGGGGAGACGTTCAGGAAGCCTCAGCCTGGCTCTTTGGGAGCTTTGTTGTCACAATTTCCACTGCTAACCTTTTGCATACAGTATCCAGCTCAATTCCTGCCAGGCTTCTGTCACCCGCTGCGTGAGCCCTGCTCTTACACCATTTGGCAAGGTGAGAAACTGAAGCTCAGAGAGGTCAAGCATCTTGCCCAAAGTCACACAGCCATGTGGCGCAAGTCCAGGAATTAAAGCCATAGTGTCGGACTTCAAGCCCAAGGTCTTCCCCAGCACACTCCTGCCAGCGTGGCGGGTCCTTCTGGACTCCACAATTTTAGGATGTCTCGGCTGGACTTAAAACCAAGTAATGAAGCTTGATTACGAACGACTATTCCCTATGTCCCTAGGAAATGACCTTTTGCATCTTTTTAATAGTTTACATTCTCAGCTGACAAGTATAAGGCAGGTGGTGGTCCGGGCATGTCTCGCCAATTAAAAGCCAGCTCCCAGCACTTTGTTGCTAGAGCCCATCAGCCCACTGGAACAGAGCTCACATCATCTGGCCTTGTGCCACAGCAGGGTCTCCGCCCGAGGAGGCCTACAGGATTGGGATCAGGTCTCATCGTGCCTGCCATCCTGTAGCCGCCAACACAGCACCCGGCCCAGGGGACAGGCCTGTTACCACAGAAATCTCAGAGGTATGGAATGTGCTCTGCCCAGCAGCCTGCAGTGTGATACAGAGCAAGCCTCGGCCTCTGGGAGCCTCCATGTTCCTATCTGTGAAATGGGAATAATGATCCCAAACTCACGGCGCTCCTGAGAGAACTGATGAGTTACTGGAATCTGTGTTGAGAATTCATACTCCCTTTAACCAAAGAAGAGCCCTTCTTGCTGCCTGGGGGAGTCTGGAAGAGCTACTCTATCCCGAAGCTTCGGGGTCTACTGGGCACAAACCCACCCACCCACACAGGACTTCCTCTCTTCTTCCAGCCCAGCAGAGGCATCAGCCCCTCCTTCTCGGGGAGCTGTGTTATCAGAGCTGCTGGGCCACGGGCTCTCTTCCTGGCAGATCAGGTGACATGGAATCTTCCAGCTATCATCTGACGGCTTTGGTCGATAAGCTGCCCCCTGAGTTGTACTTTTACTTTCAATAAATGACATCTTCTTTTTCATAAAGTCCTTCTCTGGAGTTATTCAACCTTATACACATCTGGGATTCACTTGGACTTTCTCCAGCTCCCTGGGGATTCTCTGAAGATGCTTCTACCTCAATCCAGCAGCACCTCGAGTCGAAGCCCTCCCACTGCCTGCTTGAGCTGGGGAAGGTGTGGTTAGGACAGGAGGACCCCCTCTGCATGCAGGAGACTCCTCACTGCAGCCCATTTCTAGAGCTTCACCATTTCTAGAGCCTCATGGTCAACAGCAGGAAGGGGACACTCTGCACAAGGCCACCACCACCTCTGGGTGCAGCCTTAATTTCTCAAGCGCTTTGCTGCGCTGAATCACAAAATAAATGATATCTGCAGTTCCATGGCTTCTAGGTGACTTTATTCCTGGAGCCATGGACCATCTGTGATGGGAAGAGACCTTTAAGACCTTCACGTGCGATTGGCTCATTTCACTGCAAGGAAATTGAGGCTCAGGAAGACTGGGCCCCTTCCTGCTCTGTCATCCAAACTGACTCCTAACGGTGAGCTCTTTGTTCAATGCAAGGCTTGGAACAGAGACGAAAATACAATGGCGTTTATAAGAG